TGTCCAAAAGGACATCTAACAATATACTGTAGGAAGATGACAGCCTATGTGAGCAATGAAAGCTCCTGATACACTGTTTTTAGGAAAGCCTTTCAGATGCTGCTTTCAACTGGTACATGCAGCTGGATGGAGGGAAGATCCAGACATGGAAACAGTTAGCCAACGCCTTTCTTCGTCGGTACAAGTACAACATCGACCTAATTCCTGATAGGTCTGATTTGCAAAGCTTGAGCTAGAAGGGCAACAAATCCTTCAAAACCTATGCACATAGATGGAGAGAAATGGCTGCGCAAGTAGAGCCTTCATTATCTGATAAGGAGATGGTGACAATGTTCATCAATTCTTTAAGTGGACTCTATTATGACAAGATGATAGGGAACACTTCGACTCTCTTTGCCGACATAGTCACTATCGGGGATAGAGTCGAGCAAGGTCTAAAAAGTGGGAAGATAGGAAAATTTCCTAAAAGCCAAGGGTATGAGAAGACTTTTGGGGGAAATGAAATCAATGTTCTAACCTCTTCCGCTACTCCTCGAACGACCAAAGCATCACCAAAAGCAGAAAGGGAACTTGATAAAATTCCTATAAGCTACACAGAGCTATTCCCTCAATTGGTGAAGGCATCCATGCTGACAAGAACTCCACCACAAAGAAAGCAGCAACCGCCTTACCCACTATGGTATAGGCCCGAGGAAACATGCAATTATCACGACGGGGCAGCAGGCCACTCCATAGAAAATTGCAATGCTTTGAAATCTCGTGTGCAAGAGCTTATCAATGCCGGGCAACTCAAGTTTGAAGCCAACACAACACACATCAAGGAATGACTAGATGAGTAACCATTTTGGGATGATAGTTGTTAGGGGCTCTCTTTTTCCAAAAAAAAAATGCTCAAACTCATGAACTTCACCTACGGTCACGGGTTCAAAAATAAGGGCTTGTACAAGTTTTTTTGCATTCATCAAACAATATACGTCATTTCATAAATCTCTTGTGTTTATTCTTTTCTCTCTTGTGTCACACATTAAATTCAAAATCAATCACCATAAAAAAAAAACAAACAAACATGACCGAAGATAATAAAATTAATCAAAGCTTCGAACATCTACAATGCATTATCTAAGTCTAAGGTAGATAAGAAGATCACCTCCTCGGCTCATGAAAGAACTCTCTTTCAGCACCCGTAGGTGGGGGCAACATCTTTCTCCTTGGTGTATGGGGAATGGGGGTAGTGTTAATCATCAAAAACGCTGGTCCTCCCAAACGCGGATGGCAAGAGATTTTGTCAAAGCAAAGAAGTGTTATGCCAAAAATAATATCACTTACAAAATAATACTAGGATGAAAACCCGCAAAGGGGATCCTAGGCAAAAAAAAAAATTGAAAGTTCCCGCTAGGACATGTCCTAGGCAAAAAATAGGGATCTAAAAGGGATAAAAAATAGCAAGTGATGATTCTCATAGTTGAAGCTAAAAGGCAGCTTGAACACTTCTACAAGGAGCCAAATTCTGCGAAGACTATGCCTGAGACTCAGATATGTAGTTCAAGATAATTAGGAGAATGATTATAATAATTATCCAAGGAAATGTTTGTTTAAAAAAACTTAAACACTCACCTACCTCGACTGCCCATTCATTCTAAATCATCCTACCTCCATTAACCATCCATTCTAAATCATGCTTTCCCGTCCTTGTCTTGCCCAATCACAATGACGTATATTGGTGATGGTTGTCAAAATTAAACATGTCAAAATAAAAATAAAAATAAAAATGACCCGCTGGGATGAAAACCCGCAAAGGGCGTCCTAGGCAAAAATTAGGGCAAATGAAAAGAGCAAAAAAATACCCGCTAGGATACATCCTAGACAAAAATTAGGGTTTCTAAACAAAAAGAAAAAAAGAGCCCCAAAATGACTCAATACATCAAACGGCCAATATGACTAATGTTGCACATCAATCGAAGCAGTCTCTTCGTGAGAAGGAGAAAAGGAGAGCCACCTTCTAAAAAACAATATATAAAAAAAAAACAAAAATCAAAACATGCATTGCCCGCATCCAAAATCATTTCACACACTTAGAAAATTTTCTTTATCAAAAGGGAATTATTCAAAATATGTAAAATTACCATCATGCACAAATAAGCATTTAGCATTCTTTGCATCTCAATGAGAAAAAGCCAAAAAGGGAAACACAAGTTCCAATTGACATCACCGGAGCAAAAGTAGCCCAAATCAGGGGTATCAACAATCAAACAATCAGTCATCAACAAACCTCAACATGCGCCTGGAGAGGCATCACAATACTCATGTGGCAGGGGCAACACTGAAATCCCTGCCAGCCATCCACTTCTCTGCCCACCAACACAGGGG